TATATCCTGAATTAGTTCTAAGAAAGGTGAAAATAAGAGGAAGAACTATGTCTTATATGATGGACCAGAGGGGATTTCCTTTTCCTATCTGCAAGTGCAAAGTCTTTGGAGCATGGGAAATGCAGCATAATAAGGGAATTCAGGTTGCAGAAGGGGAAAGGGTCACAGGAGACCTGTATGATGGCTCCCATAAAACACCACCACAGCATATTTTTTTCAGGTTTTAGTTAACCTTGTTTTTTTTTTGGTTTTTTTTTTTTTTTGTCATTTTCATTTTAAAAAGGGGAAAAATGAATCGGCCTTGTACTGGTATTGCTATAAATACGGGCTTTTAGATTTGACCAGGAGGCTGGATCCCTACTGGTTTTACAGCCAACAAGTATGTGAGCTGCGTGAATTTTACCTCAGAATATTTAAAAATTTGTCTGCACTGTTCCGCATTCGAGGATTGTCACAAAGATGGGATGAAAGCACAGCTCCATGGCTTTCAACAGAGCTGGGATTTCACAAAGGAATTTTCCCCCCAAATACCAAAAAGCTAACACAGAGACACTGAAGAGACATGTTTTCATGATTTGTATTTCACTTCTCCAAGCTGATATTCTCTTTCCTATATAGCCCATTTTTTCTGGAGGAGGCTAAGATCTGGGATTCCCCTCTACTTCTGTTTTCTTTATCCCTGAGTCCCTTCATGTTGTGTTTCCATATAATTGCTTAATATATGTTCCCTGTCTATGGCTGTGACTGTTAAATCATCACTTTTATTCTAAAGGTGTGCTTTCTTTAAATAGTGGGTGTAAAGCTCTTCTCCACGCATCCCATATAACTCTTGAGCTCTGCTGCTGGTGCCAGTCTTGACGGTCTCTTCATTACCTGCTTTGTGCTTTGTTTCTACCTCTAAGTCTGTCCCTTAGGAATGGAGTAATTTCCAACACTTTTTTTTCTTTTTTTTTTTTTTTGCAAGAAGACTGTGTCTTATTTAACTGCATGCTAAAATCCCGCTCTTCCTGCCAGACCTGTGGAGCACTCAAAAGCACAGATGGTGGGTTGCCCTTTTTTTGTGTCTGTCCTGCAGGGAAGGAAGATGGAAAGAGAGGGCTTTTCTTCAGGCTGGGCTTTGGCACAGCAGCAGGTATGCCGTCAAAGCTGACAAATAGCAGACAGGGCAGGGTATTAAGATGGTATTCAGCAAACCTGTTTTCAGTCCTTGGCTCAGTTTCCAGTACAACAGGTATGAAATTTTCCTTCCTCACTGAGGTGTCATGAGAGTAAAACCACGTTAATAATTGTGGATTGCTGGAGACTGGGGGGTGAGGGGCAGACAGTGCTTTTCCAGCTCTGTGCTTAAAATTGCAACAGAAAGAAGCTGGGTGTTGGGTTTGAGTTCTATCCTGTGAGGAGCAGATGGGGGAAGCAGCTCACTGCAGTGATGGGTGCTCCTGGGGAGACGTTCAGGCACCTCCATGGTGTAAGATCGTGCAAAGGACAGAAATGTGGTTGCTGAGCTTAGGTCTCCCACTGTTAGTCCACTTCTGAACTCGAGCATCCACAAGAATTTGCATCCACAAGCAAGATGGAAAACTGAAGAACATTTTGGGTTTGAGTGTTACAACATACATATTCTTTTTGGAAGTTCAAAGAAAGGCTTAGTTAATTTCTGTTAGAAGAAAAAAGTCCCCTTATTAAATTCTAATTGCAGTGTGTAAGATTTTTCTTCCTTTTATAAACTGTGTTAGAAATAGCGCCCCCCCCCCCCCCCCCGATAAATAGCAACAGATGTAGCTCTGTAGACTTCAGACCATTCCAAAGCCTTTGACAGGACAAACAACACTAACATACTTTCCAGTCTCAACCATCAAATAAAGTGTTTACAAATTAGACCATAACAGCCATTGCTTTTCTTCTCTATAATAAAAAGAATAAAAAAGGGCTTCAAATTATTGAATCTGTTATTGAACCTTAATTAGCCCTGGTTCTTTGACACTTTGAAATCTACATCAAGATAAATAATATTCAAGCTCTTTCTTGTGTGCTACAAATTGTTGTTTACAAAATGCAGTGTAATATAAAATCCTCTATTCTCTCAGGACCCAGACCACATAGTGACCAGGGTTTCAGTCTTAGTTAGTGATTCCAGTTGAATAACTGGAACAGAGCACAAGTAATCTTCGTGTAAGCATGACCAGCCACAAACGGCAAAATGCTTAACAATGTCTCAGCTTTCCATTGTCTCTATTGCTTTTCTTCAGGCCAATGGCTCTTAATGCCACTGTGCAGGTGTTTGCATGGCAACAATACTGTTTGGCTAAATACAGAGATGGAGTTGGAATGGGAGAAATGGACTCTATTTTAGGCTTTGCAAAGAGCTGGGGAACTTTACAGTTATTTAACTTCTTTTTTTCCAAAGTGAATTACCTTTGAATTTGCCAGATTAATACAATATCAAATTAAATGAGTGCATAATCAGGATAAATGTGAGCTGGAGTTCTATTAGTGGACCAAATTCTGGAACTGACGTACTACATTGCATCTTCTCCTGTAAGAAATGCAAATAGAGAGGATCTGGCCCTAGACTATGTGTAGTACTTCAGATGTCTCTAGAAAAGTGTCTGTATATAGGCTGAATCACTCCTAGTCATGCCAGGATTTAGTTTGCAAATGAAATAAATATCAAACATGTGACTTTGCTGATTCAATGGATCTTAATTGATTTGATTAATACTAATCACTGGTGTCTATCCTTTCTTGGCTTTCTGGATTTTCTTTTCTGACTGTTTTATTGGCCAATATCACACTATTTCCCCTTTGTATATGCTGTACAGCACTTGTCTCTTTTCCCCAAATAGGAAACTAAACAAAATTCTTTGCCACAGAAAGACGGCTCTGTCTCCATCCTTTCCATTTGAGGATGCCATATGCCCAATTAAACTCTTCTTTTCACCTTAATGATTATTTTTTGTTAAAGATGCAGACGTCCAGAGCATGCAGACTGAGCTAAAGAATTGAGGTTGGACCTAGACCAGCAGAAGACTCATTGTTCAAATCATGTTGGTACAGCTTGAGCAAACACTCAAAGCAGCTGGTCAGCTCCAGATGGATTTCATCTCCAGTCAACCGTTACATGCAACCTTGCTTCCAGTGCCTTACCTCTCTCTGCCCAGGCCCTCTGTCTATTTCTCTTTCTTATTTCCCATCTTCTTTTGAACAGCTATGTAGATTTTGTGGCTGTTTCTTTTTTTTTGGCAGGAGGAATGTTTTATTCTTTCTTACTGTCTTCTGAACAGAAGAAAAACACGTGAGAGCAGAACCCCAAAGAGCTCCCCCTTTTTTTTTTTTCCTCCAGTTCCCTGCTTCTCTTTTCCCAGTAGAGAAAACCAGAGCAAACAGGAACAAAGAAAGTGAAAGCAAAAATGCACTTTAATCTGAAAACTCTAAAAAAAGAAAAAGAAAGTAAAATAAAATTCCATTTGAAATCAAGGTAAAAATAATTTCACATTTTCCTGTATAAAACTCACCCAGTAGCATTTCAAGAGACTTTTTTTCTGGTTTTCAAAGTGTTTGGTTTAACTTTTTTTTTTTTTTCCCCATGCTCAAGTACTAAGCAGATCTGCTCTTTTTTATATTTTCTGACAGTTTCAAACCAGCTTTTTCTTCTGGGAGTTGAGGCTGCATGTGTGTTAGTACATGAAACGTGCTTGGGTCTGACCCCTGTTACTCAGTGCCTGGAGTGCCTGGGCTGGCAGGGTATCTTGGTGTACGGGGGCTGTGTGTGGACCACCTGCCCCTGGACACCCTCTGGCTCCCAAACCATGCCTGGGGGACACTGTAGCTGGCACAGGCACAAACTGTGCCATAATAGGGCCACTCCAGCAGCTTAAAAGTAGGGATAATGCCTCTTTCCAGGACTCAGGACTCCTACCAAGGCTCAGGACTCTTTCCAAGCAAAATTTAACTTAGTAGTATAGACACAAATGGAGAGTATTAGTGCTTTTTTGTAGGTCCATCAACTGTCTGGGTCTTAGAAGTAGGCTTTAACTGTTGAAGCTATGAGGAGTAACTTATTAGCTAGTTTTCAAAAGCAAAACAGTCTCTTTTTCTGTTAGAGGTTGTGCAAACACCAACTGAGACTTGAAAGTGTGAGAGATGTCGGTCAGACCCTCCGTGATGAGCACACAACCACAGCAGCTCACCCAGAAAATACTCTGTACCAGTCCTTGCACTTCAGGGCAACAGTCACAGCCATAGCATTACTGAGAAGCTATGCAGACTTGGGTTGAGGATGTTTCTTCCAAATCGTATATCCATGAGGCACCACACAAGTTAATTAGAAGAGTCCCAGTGGGAAAGTGCAGTTCACATTCTGACTTGACCATTGTCTCCTGTAGAGCTCATAACAGACTGACTTGCTTTTCCTTTGAGTTAATCCTGTGTTTATATAACTGATGTTTCGATATCAACCAGGAGAAATCCTTGCTTTTCCTGTTGAGTGCATTTGCACCCGTGTGCCCTGGACTGGAGCACAACAGGCCACTGCTGTCCAGATACTTCCACAGCAGCCAGTCATTACTGTTATCTATCTCCAGAGTAGAACAAATCCAGGTGATATTCCCAGCGATTACATGCAAAAATGGGTCTGTTTTCATGAGGCAGCAACCCATAACACTTATCTAAATACCTGCGGGAGTCAGTAGCCATTAAAGTCCTCAGTCTCTGACATGGGCCAGAGCCAGATGTGAGCAAATCCTTCTCAAGTTACAAGTTAGTTTCAGCCGGAGGTCTAACAATGTGGTTTCACTAGGTAATCGTGCTGTCCAAGTTAACTATTAATTAACCTCCCATCAGATGATGTCAAACCTGGCTGTACAAGAAATAATTGCCATAACTGTCAGTTTTTTTCCTAGTTGACTTTATTGATGATGCAGTAAAAAGATAAGCAAGTCAGGATGAGATTGCATTTACTGCCCATTGAGGAGATAATTCTTATTTTTGTTTTCATTCAGATCTTTAAGAAGTCCCACATCTCTGTGAAGATATTTTATTTGTATTTTTAGCAGAAATTATGATATTCCCTCCTGCTGTAACAAGGCCCAGGTACTATTTCTTTGGGTAATCTCTGTTACTCTTTCTCCCCTTTTTCATAGCCTGTTGATAGCATTTTGTTAAACAAGCTTTGAAATAACATTTATATCTTTCTAGCAAGGACAACACCTTGTTTGTTCTGTAAAGTGTCAGACTGACTTTTTCAGAGCTACACAAAGCTCATTCAAAGTATTTTCCTTTCTGATGTAAAGCATTGCTATTCCTCATATTATTTAGGATTTGGGGAAAGGAAATAGTCTGCAAAGTTGGGTACCTGAGGTTGCCTCTGCCACCAAACTTAAAAAATGCTGGCTCCACAGCTGTTACTTCTTTCTGTTGCTGGGACTTTCTGCAGCACAGCGGTACAAAATGAGAACACTGTCTCTTCCTCTGTCTGAACCTGTGGCCTTTGGGGGTGACCTTTTCAAAATTACAAGCTAGGGTATTCTGAATGCCACCATTAATTCGGGTTAGCCAAGGAACTGCAATGTATGTCACTTCATATACTCAGCATATCCACAAAATGCTTGGACTGCCAAAGTCCTGGAATCCCAGGGCTTGTGTGGACAAGTAGGGACCAATTTTAGCGGCGCCTGCACTGCACCATCAGCAGGTTGTTTACCAAGTTATTTTGAGAAACTCATAGGAAGACAAGGAGCTGAGAGGGATCTTCGAAACAGATGTCTGTCACGTAGCATTTGTAGAATTTATTGTCTGCCAGTCACCAGGGCTAGGTCTGGGAGCCACACCAGCAACATTGGCTTACTGACGGAGAGATTAAGTACTCATTTTGTAATTAGTGGGAGTATTACTTTGTTTTTATTGCAGTAATGCGTGGAGCTTCCAGCAGAGATTGAGGGCCTCTCTGTGATAAGCATTAGATTTATGTATAATAATAATTAAAGTTCTTGCCTCATACTCCTATGAAGGTCATCTGAAGGATGCTGAGAGATTTCAAAACAAATAAGGCAATTATGAAATGGATCCACCTTGAGCTGTTCAGATCCCAAAGCTGCAAGATCAAGTCAAGACCACACACAGAGCTCTCCCTCTCCATGTTGTTTATGAATGGTTTACAAGGGGCTGTTCCCAGGGAGTCACTACCACAGGCACTCCAATATTATACCCACTTCTAAAACAGTCTCCACAGAATCGTTCTTATGAACATTTTTTCAGATGTTATAAAGTAACTGCTTCACAATGAGTTAACTACTCTAGCTTAGTTGGATAGGGAACAATATAATTTATGTGCTCTGAGCTTTCTCATGGATTAAATTTATCACTTGGTCAGTGGCAGTGCCCCTGTTTGACAGATGTAGGACATTATTGAACAATTTGGCCTTCAAAACAGTGACTGTATTTGGAAAAGTACTTTTGGCATAGCCAACCTCCATTTTAGCAATTCATAACGTAATGCCTTGGTAGACTTTCCTTATGTTGACAAAGACATGGAATGGGCTACTCCCTAGAACATTTTCGTAAATGAGACAGTGAGGGCATTGTCAGTAGAAAGAAATGCCAGATTGGGCTCTTCCACAACTCTTCTTTCACTAAGATGATGGCTTCTGTCAGCTCCTCCTGAAGATAATTTGATTTACCTGTTTAATATCTTAGAAATAATGAGTCATGTTGAAATAGAGTTCAGGAGTGAGACTGTAATGGTAGGGAGGTAAGAACACTTTGTCTGGGGTGTCTCCACTTGGTGGGAGGGAGTGGTCAGGTGTGACCTTTGGGCAAAAGTGAGGGGTGGGGTCTGTTCACAAGCTCTTCTCCCACTCTGCTCCACTTTTGTGACACCTCACCTGCATCCAACATTGGGGATCAGGACATAAGAGGAACATGGAGCTATTGGAACGAGTTCAGGGAAGGGCTATGAAGATGGTGAGAGGGCTGGAGCACCTCTCCTATGAAGACAGGCTGGGAGAGTTGCGCTTGTTCAGACTGGAGAAGAGATGACTCCAGTGAAACCTTAAAAAAGTTTCCTTAGAAAATTTTCCTACAAGAAATCTGGAGTGGGACTTTCTACAATGGCATGTAGTAACAAGACAAGGGGTGATGGCTTTAAACTGAAAGAGGGTAGAGTTAGATTAGATACTAGGAAAAAATTCTTCACAATGAAGATGGTGAGTCACTGGCACAGGTTGCCCAGAGAAATTGTGGATGCCTGATCCCTGGGAGTGTCCAAGGCCAGGTTGGATGGGGCTCTGAGCAACCTGGTCTAGTGGAAGGTGTCCCTGCCCATGGTAGGGGGGCTGAAACTAGATGAGTCCTTAGAAAGGACTTACGGTCCTTTCCAGCTCAAACCATTCTATGACTCTATGATTTTATATTTGTTAATTTAATAGTGAGGGAGTGAATCAAACTTGGAAGGGCTGGAAAGGAACTTGTGTCTTAAGGCCAGGAAGAGGTAGAAAGGAAGAAGCCACTGTAGACAGAGACTGGGGAGAATATGATGATGTAGGAATGTGACTTTAGACACAACCTGGTCCTTGAGGAGACATGTTTGCTGAGTCAGTGACCAAGGTCAGCCTTGATTTGGCCAAGAGCACTCCAGCATGCATCCTTCTCCCAGTGCTGAAATAGAAGGGCTTTTCCTTTTTTTGGTGTGATTTGTTAAGACTGAAGCACTCAGTGATCTTGGAAGCATCCTTTGTGAGCATGACCCAGCTTTGTCAGTGAATGCTGAAGGTGCTAGGCCACAAGGGGTGTGGGATGGTAGATCTGACCATTTTGGAAAAATCTCCACCAGCTGAACAAGGCATGGTGTTGACTATCTGGCATGAAATTCGAGCTATTGACATGGGCTCACAGTCCCATAAACAGTCTCCTTCCCATTGCCCTTCCCCAACTGCCATGAACAACAACAATGTCCTGGGGTGGCTAATGGGCTGGAAAACAAGACTGGAGTCTGCTGGGACACTGTGTACATATAGCAAGACAAGGGCAAAGCATCTCTGGCTGTGTCTGAGGATATCTCGGCCAGCAAGCAGTGAGCTTGCCAGGAAAGTTCTCTGCCAGAGGCCACCCAGCCTGGGGAGGTCCTTGAAAGGGTGGTGTGAATATTAGCTTGAATGTTTTGTCTTCCTGGGGAGACCTTAACAGCTTGATATAATCCTTCCATTACACCTCTGTTCAATAAGAAATAAGTGGCTTTTAATGCCAAACCAATTTGCTATTCAAGTTAGTTTTGGGTTCAGATCATCTCCAAGTAGCCCTAATAAGGTGAGGTCCAGGCCTTTATATGTCTTCATATGTTCCCAGCCTCTGTCCTTCCTTTTTTGCCTGTGAAGTACAAGACTGGAGAGTTTCCAGTGACCTTGATTAGAATAAAGGTTTAAACTTATTTTATAGCCAAGTCATCTTTGTCTATGAGTGCTGGCTAACACGCAGTCACTGCTGGGATGGAGCTGAGCAGCCATTTTGTATGCAGCAGATCTTACCAGTAATTTTCAGAGAGTGGGAGAAGTGGCAAATAACTTCCTTAATTGAAAATTATGTGGGAATTTCACAGTGTGCGGAATATAATTAACTACACTGGAATCTGGCCAGAGAACCAAGGTTAACACCACTGCACTTGCAGAAGTGCCACTGGTGAAGCAGCACCTCCTGAACACTTTAGAACCTAATCCATTCCTACAAAATAAACAAAAGGCACATCTTTGAAAGGTGGTGTACAGCTTTTATTTATATTTGGTCATGTCTTCATCACTTACAACTGAAACAGTCAATCACAGCTGTACGCTAAAATCAGAAGTATATACAGCTCTTAATGACGTGTATTTGTTTTAGTGAATCAAAGTTGAGTTAGTATACTGTGTTTTGCCAAATCTTTATAAAATTGAGCCAAAGTCATCTTATGCATGCAACACATTTTATCAAATGTGCAAGAAATATCTGGAAGAGGAATATTGTTTATATAGAAGGAAGGGGGGAAAAGTGAAGTTGGCAACATATCATGTAAAAATTAGTTCAGTAAAAGGGGGGAAAAAAATTCAAGCTATGTGCCAGAGTTTCAGTCACAGTCAGATGAGATTTTCTGAGCTTGCAAGTACTATACAAATGTGAAAAACATGCACTTGGTGAAGAGGAAGTGAAGAAGGAAATAGCTGATGGAGAAGTCAGGGCTGTTTATGCCAATGGTGACACTGCAAGTCAGCTAGGAAAAAAGCACCAAGAAATGAAATCATGCTTCAAGCCCGGGCTTATCTCTCATGTTGCTGGAGCTGTGCTGCAGGTTCCTTAGCCCACAGCTTGGGGCAGCTATGGGTCTCATGGCACAGATAAGCTGCTGCTTTTCCAGAGGGAGCTTGATTCTTACCATGGCTGCAACACAATAAGACATCAAAATCCTAGTGAAACCAAGAGTTAGGTTGGCATGTAGTGCAAAACCTGGACTGGGAATCCAGGACGGGGCCTGGTGTCAAGGTCCCTAAGAACCTGTCCAGATGAGTAGAGCAAGACTAAAATTTCAATCTTCAGGCCTTGGGACTGACGGTGTGAGGAGACGAAGGCCCGTAACCTAAGAGATTATGAAGGTGACATTTTAGAAAGTGAAACAAAAGGAAATCCCCCAAAGATGTAGGTTGGTGCACATGCCTCTGCAGCTGAAGTGATAGTGCAGGGTTGCAGCAGCTGCTAAAAAACTCTACGCATCTCATGAACACCTCTGAGAAGTTCCTGCTCTGCTGTGGGGTGAAGCAGAACTCACAGCTGGGTGTTTATTTATCCCTGTGAAAAGCCAGACTCCCGCAGGACAGCTCCGTGCCTGGCAGGTAGAGGAGCAGACCAGGGATGTGTGGGGCTGAGGTCGCTGCCCTGACCGTCATTGCCAGGAATGGTGCCCGGTTTGGCCTTTCCTAATTTGGGGTGAATATAGGGAGGTGTATTTTGGGCTGAGGGCTGAAGCAGCAGGAGCCACCACCCAACATGCAGGCAGGGCGCGGAGCTGCCAAGCAGCTGACCTGGGGGGCTGCCAGCTCTTCCTGGGCATTTGGGCAAATGGAGTGTGGCTG